GGGAGGGGGTGGTGGGGGGTGGCGCATAGTAATATATATGTCTGCCTGTTACAGGATTTGAGACACTGAATGTTGTTTGGTGACCTTGGATTCCCAAACTCTGGTTTTCATTTAGGTCTACACCCTTTTGACATTTCAATAAAGTGTGTTTTTGAGGTTCATTTTTCTGAACCATGTGTATTTTATGTACAGATTTGGGGTAATCCTTGATAATCAGTAGCCACCAATGGAAATTGAAGAGAAAACCGACAATGACGGAGATATTGGGGATAAGTGCAAAAATTCAAATGAAGGTGAAGGTACTGTGCTATTGTACAGTAATATGTTGTCTAACTCCAACTTTATAAAGTGTTATCTTACCACCGTAGATGTTACCTGAATGAGCAAAATGTTATAGCAGTGAACGAATCTGTTGTCATGGTTTCTAGCAGTGATTAGTGAACATATCATTGATATGAATATGACAATGTCTTACATATCATTTGACTATTTATTAGCTTCTGTTACTTTTTCCATATGAAATGTTGAGATTTTATCGAACTTATTACCTTCAGGGGTTGTGACACTTGTTGATTCTAGTGATGAGCTTGACGGAAGTAATGTTGACAAAGAGCCGAGTAATATGATCTTGTTCAATGAAGAACAAGGTAATGTTGGAACTTGTGAATGGTGTTTTATTACTTTAGTTGGGGAAGTGTTGCTCCAGTTGTAAAAATGGTATTTGCTTTTAGTAAGAAATGTCATCTGTAGTCCTTCTTGAATAATAAGGCAGCATATGGAAATTTTGGTTCAGCTAGAGAACAGAGGTGAAAAAGGTTTTGGAGAAAAAACGAGAATTATTTTGAGATTGTGGATGGTTCTTTTAAGGGAGTGGAGAATTAAGAGAATGAAATAAGAAATTTTATTGCCAGAAGCTTGAAGCTTCCAAGTTCTTCCCAGCAAGAAATGATTTTGCCCAATTGCAAAACCTATTACAATCTGATTCTTATTCTCCACTTTGTCTCTACTAGAGAATGTATATTTATATTAAACCGACATAATTATAAAAGGTAATAATAATAGAAGCAATAAAATAAACATCTTCTTAAGGAAGTTAATCCAGATCCCAAAATCACCCCAAATCTATAAATTTGTTCTTCTTTCTTAGTTGCTTAGTTAATATTTATTCGCCCATGTACCCTCTACTATTTATGCCTTGTTTTGACTACAAGTTTGAGGAGAAAAAAAGTGAGAATGAGCGTATGGTAACTTGTGATTTTTTTTATTTTTTTATTTTTTGCTATTTTTGTATCCAATCACAATTTCAGGGTAAACATTATTTGGTATTATGAATTTGAGAAAATTCAATACCTAATTGCAGTGTAAAATTTTCAAACTTTATTTATTGTAGGTGATGTAGTAGATTTGTTTGGTTCTCTTGTGGGATTGAAGAGGTGGAAAATCGAGGATATCTATGATTTGTACTGCGACCACGCACGTGAAGTTGGGTTTACTGTTAGAAAAACAACGACGAGGTGCAATCATGCTGGCGTTGTGATTGAAAAATATTATGTCTGTTCTTGTCAAGGATCTAAGCGGTCCACCTCCTCAAGCACCAGTAATCAAGTCCAGAGAAAAGAGAAAAAGAGATGCATAACACGCACAGGTTGTCAAGCATATTTGAGAGTCAAAATGAACAGTAAAGGTGTTTATGAAGTTATTGGACACAACACACAACATAATCACACACTTCATAGGAAGGTGTGGAGGCATATGCATCATCCTGAGAGGGTGATTTCCAGTAAGAATGTGATTTATGATTCATCTTGTTACGTGTCTCAAGATGTAAAGGAAGAGAATTGTTCTGGTGAAGATCACTTGAATATTGTAAAACAATTGAATATGAGTGGGATAGAAGGAAGGGATGCACAGAGGCTTTTGGATGCTTTATGCCAGCAAAATGCTGAAGATAAAGATTTCTTCTTCAGAGTCAAATTGGACGATTTCGGTAGACTGTGCAATGTTTTCTGGAGGGATTCACTAATGAAAGAGGATTACAGGATGTATGGAGATGTTGTTGTCTTCGACACAACCTGCAGGAATACGAATAATTTGCTCTGTGCACCATTTATTGGGGTAAATAATCATCGGAAAAATGTAATGTTTGGTTGTGCGTTCATAGCGGATGAGAAGGTGCAGTCGTTTGAGTGGCTTCTCGAAGTTTTTAAAGAATCCATGGAGGGTCAATGTCCTGTTATGATGTTTACGAATGAAGATGTAGTAATTGGGAATGCTGTAGAAAAGGTATGCTAATTTCACTATTGTTACATGTGAGTTCTGTTGAAATATAGTAGTTCTCCTTCTCTGGCATACCATTATTTTTTATTGAAATGAATTTCAATGTGATGTATTAGAAGTTCTACTTCAAAGTAATAGTACCTTAGCTGTGAAATATTAGAAATTTTCAAGTAATTAATTTTTTTGGTCGCTATCTCTCTCTCTCTCTCTCTCTCTCTCTGTGTGTGTGTGTGTGTGTGTGTGTATTCTTAAGCAGCGAATTACTAAAAGGCCTGTTGTATTAATTTTTATGAAGTATTGTGGTTTCTACTCAAAGTACTACTTTTAATTGTAACTCTTTGTTTAATGTTTATTAATGTAGGTTTTTCCGGGAATAAGACATAGGCTATGCTGGTGGCACTTGTACCATGATGCAGTGAGTCAGTCTGGGAATCTGAAAGGTGACAAATGCTTTGATGACGCATTTAACAAGTGCTTATCGGGATGTACAAACGAATCAGAATTTGAAAGTTGCTGGAACTCAATGGTGTCGAAGAATCTCTTGAACGATCATTCTTGGTTTAAACGTCTGCATGATTTACGGGAGAAATGGAGCACCGCATTCGGCAATGACTTTTTCTCCTCAGGAAACCTACCCTACTGTGCTATTGGATACATTGCGAAAAAAATCACCAGCTTGCATGAATTTCACACCATTTTTAAAAAAACTGTGAAGCGGTTGAGGAGCAACGAGGCAAAAGACGAACACCAGTGCTCGACAGTAACACATACCTCAGTAGTACCGTTAACCGGCATATTGAAGCACGCCTCAGAGGTATACACGCTCTCTGTTTTCAAAGATTTCGAAGAGGAATTTTTAAAATCCTTAGCGACTTCGTGTAAAATGCTGCGTGATGATAGTGGCACTATCTTTTACAATGTCGTGCGAGATGATGGCGTGATTTGTGGTGATGTGACCTTCACTGTTGCGGACAATACGATAAGCTGCTCGTGTAAGAGATTCGAGGAGTGCGGGTTGTTGTGTCGACACTGCTTGAAGGTGTTTTATATGCATTCGCTGACTCGAATACCGGATATTTATATCAAGAGAAGATGGACGAAATTTGCCAGGAAGGATTTGTGGGATAGTCTCGGAATAGGTATTGAAATGCTGGACGAGAAGGTTAACGGTTGCAACCTATGGAGGCATGATATCATGAGAAAATATTATAATCTATTGTTGAAAGCCCAAGGCAATAATGAAGTACGAAAAACTATGGAAGATGGACTTGACAGACTTTCTGGGGCAGTTGATGCACTTATGAATGCACGGCATTGGACAAAAGAGAACGATGCTTCCAGTTCTTCTGTTGATATTGTGGATACCATGTGTCCTAGCAGCAAGAAGAGGAAAAATGGGGATTCATCAAACACGCATCTTTTTGGTTTGGGGAACTTGTATTAATTCTCTGTTGTTATTCTTCTGTTGATGTTGTGGATACCATGTGTCCTAGCAGCAAGAAGAGGAAAAATGGGGATTCATTAAACACGCATCTTTTTGGTTTGGGGAACTTGTATTAATCCTCTGTTGTTATCGTGATCGTTTTGTATATTCGTCTTTCGGTTGTGAAAGTACCGCTGGCTCTTGTAAAAATGGCTTGTATTTTGGAAAAATGGAGGGGCAACTATAAATTGAGGTGTTTACAGTTAAGACCTTGAATCCCTCATTTTTTTCAACGGATTTAGGAGTAGCGATATTACCAATTATTATGAAGATGTCACTACATTTCTTATATAGCTTTTGAATGACAATGGGTGGCTTATATATTTGTTGCAAGCAAATGTTGATTTCTTTCATATCCTTTATATTATGAAGAGAAGATGGTATAAATACCTCTATAAGTACTTTTTTCGTCAGTTCGATGAAATGCCAATTACTGCACTTCATGTCAAAAAAGCGCTCCGACTTTGGCCTGGACATCAAAGTCATATGGTTCCTGAGGAGCTACCCGTCTTTCTTTGAGGACATAAGCCATCAAATGAAAAAGCTTCCTTGATAGCCACTAAAATTTTGTGAACTAAATCAGGTTCTATCTATAACATAACCCATCTGCTTTTGAAGTTAGTCTTAAATCAGGTTTACCTTGAAGATATTGTCCCATAATGCGACAGAAGCCATGAGGACGTTGGACTGGACACAATGTCGAACACCGTCCACCTTGCATAACATCCATTTGAAAACAGTATAACGTTTATGCAAGAAAATAAACCGTTCCTCCAACTCCTGAACTGAAAAATGCAACATCAAGCTCAGCGTTCATGATACTAGACTAGATGATTATATTCGAAAATCGCATTGGCCGGCCGACCCTGAGAATCAAAATCGTCGTGATTACATAGTTGACTACTTATGAAATTTCAGGGGAAAAACGGGAGAAAAAAAAAATTGACAATTTACAGTTTGCACGGTGTAAATGCAAGTGTTACCATCTATAATTATGGAAGCAAAATATATATATACAACCTCAATATAAAATTGGGAGGGAAAAAAAAATATGCTTTCTGCCACTTCAAGATAGTTGTGCTTTGAAATGTGTTTACACATTCTTTATTGAAGAGTGAAGACACACGTGTGTATGACTACGGCTGCAAAGGAATCGAGCTGTTCGCGAGTCAAAGCTCGACTCGAGCTCGAGTTTAACCGAACTCGCGTCGAGCTCGAGCTCGAGCTCATATTTTGCCTTGTCGAGTGGCTCGTCGAGCGGCTTGAGATACACGTTAAATTACTAAAATACCCCTTATTATATATATTAGCATAGGTGCTTAATGATAATTTTACTTTTTCACTTAAAAATTTTCGAGCCGAGCTCGAGCTGTAATTTTCTATCGAGTCGAGCTCGAGCCTAAAAAATCGAGCTTGAGCTCGAGCAACTAAAAAAAACTCAATCCTGCTCGATCAGGCCAATGCTCGACTCGACTCGGCTCATTTGCAGCCGAGACGTGAAGCGAAAATTAAGGCTTGATTGTTTATGAAATAATTTGTTCAAAATGAGTTATTTTGGTTAACCATAGTTAAATTTGAAAAAGTAGTATAGTTAGGTGTTAGTGGAATTTTAAGAATATATTAAAATAATATTTAAAATAAAATGTTTTAAATTGATTTGATGTAAAAGTAAGAGATAAATAATTGGAAATGATTGGAAATGATAGGTAGTTAAAAATATGTGAGTGAATGAATAGTAATTAAAGTTGATGTGATATGTAAGAATGATTAGTTTGTATTATTTAATTATATGAATAATATTAAAGATAGTGTGGTTGAGTTAAAGTTGAGTTAAATTTTGAGTTGAAATAAAAGTAAGTAATTTTTTTTTTCTTTTTTGGTACATGGACCTTCCGATTTCCAGATTCACAGGGAAACAGACTAATCCGAAATCGAGCCGGGTAAGACCACAAAGGCGGCAAAGCTCTCCCTCAAGAGTTTTAACACTGCTGCATTCCCACGGCTCGAACTCATAAAAATGAGTAGTAAATTAATCCATAAACAATCAACCCTTAAACTTTTTCAAGTATAATCCTTTCTTGAACAAACAAACTACACTATGCATCAATCTCCGCAAAACAATTTTCGTACAAGCGTCATCTTCATAACCCCTCATCGTTTTTCTCGAAACTGTTCTCCTGAGCACAGAGCTTGTCCGAATAATTGCTCCTTTCAACTCTTCGTCTTTATCGCCGGTTAAACGCTGAGACAACAATGTCCCGCTTTTTTTTTTTCATTTCCTTTTTGTGCGATTAATTTAATCTACTTTTTCCATGTCTTTTTTTTTTCCCTCCTTTTTTTCCCCTTTC